CCTTCTACCCCGGTTCCCCCCCCTCCCCAGCCACCCCGACGGCGCAGCCGCTGCCCGAATCCCGCTCACGGCCCCACGCTCCGTGGCCTGACCCACCTGGAGTATGGAGACGAGCGTGACAACCCCGTAGTACCTGCAGACGGACAGGGAAATGTGAGAGACCCTCTCTGCCAGCAGCCACCAGCACCCCTCCTGCGGGCTGGCCAGGCCCCCTTCCAGACACTCACAGCAGGTTTTGCACAGCAATGCGCACCAAGTTCAGCTCCACATCGGCTTCTGCAGAAATCTTCTGGACGTGCCGAAAGCCGTCGATGTAGGGCAGGATCTAGGAGGGGAGGAGGCGAGAGCTAGGAGGGGAGAGAGCAGAGAGGCCCAAGGCATCACCCCAAAGCCCAAGAAACTCCCCTGCGTCTGGGAGCATGCTGGGACGGGCGGGCTCCATCCCCAGCAGCATTTAACCCACGTTTTGGGTGAATGGGTCACTTGCAGGCCTGAGAACAAAGACAAGGGGCGCACTGAACCGTGCTCATAACGTGGTGATCTCTGGGGACAGCCCGACTGCCCTCTGACCCCGGGCAGGCTGGAGACAGATCCCGTTCAAAGCACACTGCCCCCGGTCAAGCACACAGACCTGCTGCGTGGTGAGATCCCACTGGGAGTTGAAGTCATCCTTGTCTTGGGTGAAGACGGGGACATCGTACTCCTGCACAATGGGGGGGTCCGGACGCTGCTCGATCACCTTCAGGTGGATGGTGTTCGACTCATCTGGCCGGGGAAAGGGGAGCGCTCAGTCCCCACAGAAACCTCTGCTCCCTTGAGAGCTTGTGACCGTCGGTCCCAGGACACCACCACGCCGCACGGAGGAAGGTGTTTGCGGCCCATAACCCCGTCCCTCCTGGCCCTTCGAGCCACCCAGAGCTAGGCTGGCTCAGACGCCCCCCAGCTCCAAGCGCAGACAGGCAGGGAGCTGCCAGGAGCAATGCAGGCAGAGCTGACCCGGGCAGGGGATGGCCCAGCTGCTTCCCAGCGCCGCCTGCTCCTGCCCTTGCTGCCGGGCCGGCACGGCTGCTGTACCTATGGGCAGGGTGCACCTTCCTTTGGCATTGAGGTCCTCCAGCAGGATGGTCATGATGGGAACCAGCTTCTGTTTACTCTCCTCGTTGGAGATGAATCCGCTTTCCAGCTAAAGAGAGGAGAAAATTGAGCCAGCTCCCCCCCACAGGATTACTGGCTATAGAAACTGCACATCTCAGATCCCATCCTCCCTTAAACTTCAAGCGATGTGTGGGTAAAACCAGCACGATCCCCTCCTCGCCGTAAACCTGGTCCCTACCCCAGCAATGCCCAGTGACCCACAATGTGCGCCGGGACACCGGTGACTCTGTGGGGCGGATCGTGAGGCAGCCAGCCGCCCCTCGCGTTGGCTCGGGCCCCACCTCAAGGGTGGTGGGGTAGCCAGCCAGCTTCTTCACTATGGGCTCCAGCACACAGGCCTTGGCTCTGGCATCGCACACAAAGCCCAGGTTGAAGAGCAGAGCGTTTCGGCTGTACTTCTTGTGCTCGATACACACGGGGCAGCCAATCAGCTTCTTCTCCATGGCCGTCCTGCGGGAAGACAAATATAACCTGCACCTAGGCCATCAGGGCGGCCTGAGCCCCACACAAGGCTAGTTCCCGGTCAGCTCTGGAGGTGGGGGCTTCTCTGCTTTGCAGGAAAAATGACATCTAATCCCCAAATGCTCAGAGCACAAAACACAGAGTCCAAAGAAGTGGGGAAAAAAAGAGTCAACCATCAGAGAAGAAAACAGTCTCCTTTCAAAACCAGCACAGCTCTCTTGGGGAACTAGAGTCCTTGGTTACTCTGGACTGCTGCCAGGTACCTCTCCCTCAACTGTTTCAGACCACAACAGCAGAAAGGCTGCACAGGTATGTTGCGGAGCGTCTCCTCAAAGATGACTCCATCTTATGCAGCACAACCAGTACACAGGTGGACACAGAGTCCACTGCAAGCATCAGTGCAGTCACCTGAGTCCTTCCTGTTGGGCTAACCCATGCCGATCAGACCTGTTTTTCCCCAGCATCAGCGCCCTACAGCTTTCAAATCACTTCTGCTGGCCCATAAGTCGTTTGACTTTCCTGGATTTGGGGCTGACCAAGAACCACGTGCAGCACCAGCCACCCCCAGAAGCAGGTACCCAACCCCCCTGCGCGGGTAACTGCGGGCATCGTAATGAACCTGCTGACCGCTGGCACAGAAATCCCTGCGAGCCCAGAGCTGACAGCTGGCACTGTCACGTCACCAAGCTGCCGTCTCCTGCTGGCAGAGCCTTGCCCAGCTGTGGCGAGGACAGCGGATCCCCCCCGCGGGGAAAGGACGGGCGGCTTGCCAACACTCACACGGTGATCAGCTTGTTCTGCAGCTCGGGCTTCGTGATGACATACACCTGGATGGTGTCAAAGAGCTCCCGAGAGATGAAGTCCTCCGGGACCTGCA